GCAGGGGTCTCCAACCTTGGCAACTTTAAGACTTTTGGACTTCAACTCCCAGAAAGCAAAGCTGGCTGAGGAAATTCTGGGAGTTGAAGTCCACAAGTCTTAAAGTTGTCAAGGTTAGGGGCTGGGGTCAGGGGTGAAATGCTCCCGGTTCGGACCAGATCGCCTGATCCGGTAGCGATGGAGGCGGGTGATTCAGAGAACCGGTAGCAAAAATCCCTGCCCCCCACCCCCACCCCATGCCCAGCTGAGCCGCGCAATCATCAGAGGCTTTTTTTTTTATTTTTAAAAGCATTTTTTCTACAACCTCTTCGGCCAAAGAGGTTATAGAAAAAATGCTTTTAAAAGTAAAAACAAAGCCTCTGCCGATCAGGCAAGCCAGCTGGGATCATCAGAGGCTTTAAAAGCATTTTTTAAACAACTTCTTCAGCCGAAGAGGTTGTAGAAAAATGGTTTTAAAAGTAAAAAAAAAAAAAAAAGTTGGCCACACCCACTCAGTCATATTACCCACCCACCCCCCACCAAGCCATGCCCACAGAACCAGTAGTAACAAAATTTACATGTCACCACTGGTTGGGGTGTATTAATCTAGAATCAACAGACCTATGGAAAGCTTTCAAAATTTATCTACCATTTCCAAGAGCCCCATTTCCTGTACCCAGAAGTTTAACTATTTAATTTAACAATGTTAACAGATTTCCTGTCTTTTACCAACTTTACTGAAATTGTTGGGTTGCATGTATACATGTTCAGATATATAAACACGTGTACACATACTGTACCTCCATCCCACACATTCAATTGCTCTTTTCAAATAAATTGCCCCTCTTCTATTCACCTTTGCAAATACTACCACATGATCTCAGATTACATAGTCATGTAAGAACCATTTTTGAACTTCTGTCAATTTCAAGAGTGGCCTCCTTACCAGCAGTTCATTCAGACTAGTGCTACTATGGATGGATGGGGTCAGATCAGTGGTGGGTTTCTACTGGTTCACCCCGGTTCGGGCAAACTGGTAGTGGCAGTGGTGGTAGGCTCTGCCCACCTGCCCAGACGTCATCACGGACGCTCTGCACATGTGCAGAAGGTTCTGCCGCGCAGAAGTGCCATGTGCGAGTGAAGCAAGTGTGTGTGCATGCTCACAGTTCCGAACCGGTAGCAAAGGTAAGTGTAACCCACTACTGGGTCAGATGACATTCCATTTCTTCTGGTAGATAGTAACAAACTCATCTGACCAGTGAACCATACTGAGGAAAACATAACCTCGCTATCTTCATTCCCATGTTGGATCTCTATTGCACAAATTGGTGCATTTAGTCTCAGATGGTAAGAACCATTCATTACCGAGCTTTTGAGTGTATATCACCAGGAATGGCAGAATTTACAGTTTCTCATTATAGCTTGGTTGTAATTTGGAACTGTGCAATGGATACTAATGGCATTTCTTGATGGTGATCTCAGTTGAATGCTGAGCAGCTTTGGCTGGTTTTCTGATTCAGCACCACATTTGCTCTCGCAGGTTTGAAAGGACAACAGAAGATACTGAAAAGATTGCCAGACTTTCCATTGGACTTATATTTTGTCCCCTGTATAAATCCGGAGGCTATATATCTATGAAGCGGTGTTCCTCAAGAATTTGGTCTCTCCTCCTCCCTCTTTTTTTTTTTTTTAATTTGATTTATATGCCGCCCTTCTCCGGAGACTCTGGGCGGCTTACAATGCGTTAAGTATTATGTGTTTTCACATGCAAGAGATATTGGGCTATCGAGGTGAAAACCCTGAAATAGTAAAGTGGTTGCCTCTTTTCTTTTTATATCTGTGTCTAATATTTGCAAGCAGCCGTGTATGCATTTGGAAAGGCAGAGTCTGAGCGTTTTAAGTCAGTTAATCAAATAGCCCGGAGGGGTGAGAGTTCAGAACCGGAAAATAGCACCCTAATAATATATTTCTCACCAAATTAGCTCTCAGCTGAATTGATTGCCATTATGTATATTCCAGCGGATAATTTTCCAGAGCTGTTGACCGTGACTGAAGATGGCAACCCATTCCCTGTTCAATATGGTTCAACTCACTAGCCTGAACAGTCTGATGTAGTTAGCTGTATAATAACATTCACTGGCTTCCATGTTATATAGAACAAGTGAGTGTTCAGAGCACCTCTAGAGTAGTGCTTCTCAACTTTAGCTCTTTCATTATACGCAGACTTCAACTCCCAGAATACTCCAGGCAGGACTGCTAAGGTGGCGAAAAACTGTCCTAGAGAATTAGTGGATAAGAGATTAGGCTTTGCTGGCTGGGGTGTTTGCTGGCTGGCTGGGTCTAGGAGTTGAAGTCCACACATCTTAAAATGGTTAAGGTTGAGAAAATTGATCTAGAGAGTTGGGGTAAGAAATTAGATTTGCCTAAACAAAGGCAGTGATGGTAATGCCAGTTGCTTATAGTAAACAGCCTATAACAGGGGTCTCCAACCTTGCCACCTTTAAGACTTGTGGACTTCAACTCCCAGAGTTCCTCAGCCAGCTTAGCCGGCTGAGGAACTCTGGGAGTTGAAGTCCACAAGTCTTAAAGGTGGCAAGGTTGGAGACCCCTGGCCTATAATATCAGAGGCAGAAGGGAATGAATTACTCTTGGATCTCTGGTCTTTCTATCCAGTGTCTGGGATCAGCAACAGAATCATCAGTAACCTTTTTAGAAGAATATATTTTATTTTTAAAACAAGAATGCAGTGTGTTGACCTCTAGAAGATAGCAATAGCAATAGCACTTAGCCGTATATACCGCTTCACAGTGCTTTACAGCTCTCTCTAAGTGGTTTACAGAGTCAATTTATTGCCCCCAACAATCTGGGTCCTCATTTTACCAACCTCGGAAGGATGAAAGGCTGAGTCAACCTTGAGCCAGTCAGGATCGAAGACTAGCTCTGGCAGTGAGCAGAGCTAGCCTGCAATATTGGACCCTAACCACTGCGCAACAACGAACACTCATTCAGTTCCAAGGCCAAACAACACACAAACCCAAAAGTGTGTTAAACTGGGAAGGGGGGTGAGATTACAAAGGGTATTTGAAGGGACTGCACCTTTTTGTCAACCGAGAGCAATCAATTATTTGGAAAAAAAAAATACTTAGATTTCTGTGTTCTGTTCTGTGTCTAACAGTCTTTAGCTGAGTTTGAGCCTAAAGGCCCAGTTCAGCTGTGCTTGTTAAGTATCTACGAAGTATTGCTAAGCTTTTTTTTCAAGGAACTTGACCCAGCTGATTGTATGAATCCCATAAATATCCCTCACATTCTCCAAATTCCAGGAAAATGAAAGGATTGATCATACTCAATTCTTCACAAGTCTAAAACTTATAATGGCTGTTTGTTCAGTTTGGGTTTAGCACGCTGCCAGAATCCAGTTTGTAAACTATGAGCTAGTCTGTTATGGGAATCCAATGTCTTGCCATTTTTAATTTAGCATCTTCAAATTGAGATTGGTTGCTGTTGATTTCATGGGAAATTTCTTGGCAGCAGTAGAGAAGCGATTTTCCATTCCTCCTTCTTGTATTCTTTTCCACTTCCCAGTTTAGCCTCCAGCCTTGGTATTGATAGTTAAATCATGGCTTACTAATATTTATGAATCTAATTGCTGCCTTTATGCAGTTGGACAATCATTTTATGGAAAATGTTCAAAGTATGGCTAGTTAGGACACTTCTGATCCTTTCCATTTCAGCTCCCTCATATTGCATGCTTGCTTTGCAAAGAAACAAGTGTAGTTAGACTTAACAAAAAAAAAGAGAGAGAGAAGAAGAACAGCACAGGAAAAAAACAGCAAGGTTAGGTTCAAGTGAATATGCCTTGACAATATCATTTCTTGCTATGGACCCATGAGTTTTCCTCTGTCTTCTCCCCAGCCAAGGAGTGAAACGGGTTTAAGTCATCCTTAGTAGGATTTTCTCCCTTATTCAAAGATTAACTGACAGCAGCCTCAAAGGGGGTGGGGAGGTTAAATCTGGTAGATTTTGTCATCCATTACATTGGAGGGAAATTGCAGGACTGAGAGTGAGGAAGAACAGAGATAGTCCAGCCAGGCTAACAAACTTAATGTTGGTCTAGTTTCCTCCAATTCAAAGGTGAGTGATAGCACTTCAGCATGAGGAAAGACCCTTAAGACCCTTCCTTATGTAAATAAACATAATCCTTGTATCTAAACTGTTTATTGTTTTAGTATTGATTCCTGGTGACACCCTGGACAAATCCCTTCACCCTGGACAATTTCTTCACAGAATTTTGGAATTGGTTTGTCCTTGCTTGCTTCCTAGGGCTGAGAGGGAGTGACTGGCCAAAGGTCACCAAGCTGACTTCATGCTTATAGCAGGTCCAGAACAGGGGTGGGTTCTAAAAATTTTTACTACCAGTTCTGTGGGCGTGGCTTATTTTGTGTGCGTGGCTTGGAGATAATGTGACTGGGTGGGCGTGGCCAACTTTTTTTTTTTTTTAACTTTTAAAAGCATTTTTTCTACAACCTTAAGAGGCTACAGAAAAAAATGCTTTTAGAAGCCTCTGACATCCCAGCTGAGCTGTGTGATCATCAGAGGCTTTTTTTAAAAAAACTTTTAAAAGCATTTTTTCGGCTGAAGAGGTTGTAGAAAAAATGCTTTTAAAAGTAAAAGTAAAAAAAAAAGCCTCAAATGAGGTAGGTGGGGTAAGTGAGTGGCGACCGGGCCGGGAACTGGTTTGGGGGTGTGGGCAGCCAATGTTATTACCGGTTCTCCAAACTACTACAAATTTTTACTACCAGTTTTTGCGAACTGGTGAGAACCAGGACCAACCCACCACTGGTCCAGAACCTGATCTGTAGCCTGGTGTTTTAACCATTACACCAAACTGGGTTTCTTATGTATTTATATACCATATACTGTATTTACATATTTATAGTGAATGTTTAATCCACCATCTCCATAAGAAGAAAAGAGACATTCCAGCAAGGAATTTTCTTAAGTATGTAATGTTCTCTTTCCAGGGTGAGTTGCTGAGTCCATGTCGATGTGACGGGTCAGTGAAATGTACACATCAACCTTGTCTGATCAAATGGATCAGCGAGAGGGGATGTTGGAGCTGTGAGCTGTGTTACTACAAGTATCACGTCATCGCCATAAGCACAAAGAACCCCCTGCAGGTAAAGGTACTAGAGATTATTCCAAAGTCCTTTCCTTTCCTTGTTTTGGCTTTTCCCTGCTTCCTGTATTTGCACTGTTGATTATTTATTTATTTTATTTATTTATTTGTCAAGAATGTATTAGGTAATAAGTATAAACATAGATTGGATACATAAAATAGATACAAATAGAGGAAACATTAGGACAGGGACGGTAGGCACGCTGGTGCGCTTATGCACACCCCTTATAGATCTCTTAGGAATGGGGCAAGGTCAACATTAGACAGTCTTAGGTTAAAATTTTGGGGGTTTGGGGATGAAACCACAGAGTCAGGTAGTGCACTGACCTCTCTGTTGCTGAAGTCATATTTTTTGCAATCGAGAAATTTAAACATGCTTCATACTATACATAAATGACCGATAGACGTTTCCCCCCCCCACTCAAAGTAAATTATGCGTGTGTGGCTTTTCATTATATGGTGCCCTGTGTGTGTGGTGAAGAAATGGTCCATTCACTTTAGTTACTTTTTAGAAAACACATCAAGGTGACCAGGGTGAAAAATAAATGGAGATTTCGAAATAAAATATCTTGCCAAACAAACACAAACGTTTGCCTCCACAAGATTGCCAACTGTGGCTTTAATCAGGGGCCACATCGTCCACAGTAAAAATTAGTTTCGCAGTTGCTAACTTGCATAGGTCTGAATCAGAGCATCTGCTGTTTGCAATGGGAAGGAAAAAAAAGTTTCCTTCCATTGTCAGCAGCAGGCCCTGAGGTTGAGATGGTGGGGAGACTGAGAGCAGTTCTGCTCATGCTGGTTGGAAAGTCTGGATTTCAGGTCCTGCCTCAGGCTTGGGATGATGCCGGATGCTGGAAACTGTTCTGTCTGAGCATCAGCAATGATGGGCTGCTGAAGGCCGCCAATTGATTGGCTCTCCATCTTTGTCTCCCAAAATGCTGGCAAGAGAAGTAGGGGAAATAGAAGAGGTCCATTCTCCTCTTCTCTCCCCTTATTTCTCCAGGAGTTGGCAAGAGAAATAGGAGTAGACTTCTGAATATTACTGGTATGCCTCTTTTCCATACTGGTAGAGTCCTGACTCTCTTGCTGCCAAAAGCCAAGCAGCTGAGGACTAAAAGGATTGTCCATTGCAGGTGGCCAATAGGAGTAGGTCAAGGCTCTGCCTTTAAACTTGGGAAGATTCAGCTCAGAGCAAATGTATTTTATTTTATTTATTAGAATTTGTCAAACAAAAATGTGAGCAAGAATAAAAGAATAAAAATACAGTGACAAGGATGATAGGCACGTTAGTGCACTTATGCACGCCCCCTCTACTAACCACTTAAGTATGAAGTAAGGCTTTTGATACAGTAGTACATGATAAACTGCTGTTGAAATTAAACTCTTACAGCATTTCTGGACCTTTGCACAAGTGGATTGCTGCTTTCCTGTCTAATAGATTGCAGAAAGACAAAATAGGGAACTCGCAGTCTAATCCTGCATCAGTTGACAGTGGTGTTCTGCAAGGCAGCATTTTAGATCCCATACTTTTCTTGTTCTACATCAGTGGTTCCCAACCTTCTTTTGGCCATGCCCCACCTAAACATCTCTAAAATCCTGATGCCCTCCCCTGTGACATATAATTCTTACTTTAATCAAAAAGTGAACTCTACTCACCTGGAGGAAGCCTAAAAGGCCATTAGTTTGGTTTAAACAAGGTTCCAATTGCCCCCATTAAAAATCAAATTGCCCCTCTATGGGGCATGGGCCCCAAATTGGGAACCACTGCTCTACATCTACGATTTAAGTGATCAGCTTAAAAGCAATTGCGTCCTTTTTACCCATGACGTAAAATTATTCAATACTACAGATAATTCTGTTGTTTTGCAAAGTGATCTCGACTATGTGTCTGAATGGTCAAATACTGTGACAGAAGTCAAAACATGACATTTTTGCAGTGAAGCGAGAAAGCACCGGTATGAGCCACATTTGGGATAGCAGTGATGAGGTGAGCTGAAGGCCAGATCATCTGTTCATATTCTGCAAATCCATTTCCTGAAGTATTACCAGTCTGCATTTAATGGACAATACAGAAGAACTCTGATTCAAGTCTGGATCTTAGCCAGGGGCAGCAGAATGAAGAATTAATAGCCTAGAATATCCTAGCCATTAGATTATAAAATGAGAGCAAACCCTACTCACTAGTAGCACTGATGATGTTATCTAGTGTGGATAATGAACCGTCTGCAAGAAAACAATCAAGCTCAGAGAGTATCCAGAACAGTGGTAGTTCCAACCAGTGTAACCACTGGTTCTCTTCTCACACGCACACCGGACTTGCGCTCTGCGCAAGCGCGTTAGGTTTCTGCCCACCTCAGGTGCGGCAATCTGCCACGCCTATCAGCTGGGCTAAAAAACAAGAAATAAAGGTAGGAATAAAGCGGGGGCGGGTGGGAGGGCCCAGCTCCCAGTCAAAGAGAACCGGTTCAGTGACATCACATCATCACCACTACCAGCTCGGCCGAACCGGGCCGAACAGGGAGCAACCTACCACTGATCCAGAAGCCAAAACTCAACCCTGAACTGTAGATACTCTCTTCTGTTTGTAATAAATAGCGAAATGCACTAAACTCCTAATATTGAAGCAAAATATTAAGCGCCATGTGCTGATGTTACAGACTTCTTAGCATTTCATCTCCAGCTACTGCCAGGTAGCTCTCTTAGAAGCCAGCACTGAATTAGTGGAAAGGATACATGCCGTTGTGTTGCCCCAGTCAATTTAATTTATAGCAACTGCACAATTTGATCTATTAGAAACTGCAAGTCAGCCAAAATACAGAGACTCCTGAGACATACTCCACTTGGTTCTGAGGCACACAGTGTGGAGGCAACTGCCTTCCTGCTTGAAATAGTGGCCTCAGCAATATTATTCCCGTTTAACTTGTTCAGAACACAAATCCCTGCTGAATTCAGAGTTCATGTATCAGGAACTGGAAATTGTCATTCTTAATGAAAGGAAGCAGCCCTCTGCCTCATTGGCAGCGTGCATTTCACAAATTGTATTTGCATCCCACTTTTCTTCTGAAGAGTTGAAAGCAAACATATGTTCAAAGTCGTTATTGGGTCATCACAATAACCTCTCGTGGGTAGGAGGGAGATTTTGTGGCTGTGGGTGGGTGGGGGGATGTCTCTTCAACAGATCTCAGCAGTTTGAAACCATCTCCCTTATATGTCCTCTGTGTGCTATATCACATCATCACTCATGGAGGGAAGATATATGCAGGAACACGTAGCTGCATGAGAATGGGGGAAATCGCCAGTAAGAAATATGTCATTTTGAATTAGAATGCCATTAAAGGCCTAAATTAATGATCAATAACATGTCAACAACTCCCACACACCAAAGCCTACAAATAGTCAATAGATCAAATGAATGTGATCTCTTTTCCACATATAACGTTTATTATAGTGTTTAATCAACATCTTAATTTACAGGATAAACTAAATCTTCCTGTGTTTCTCCTCACCCCTACTTCTCTTAATTCTATAGAATAAGCAGTTCTAAACAATTAGTTTTAAAAGAAAAAGATTAAAAATGTCATCCCCCTGAGAAAGGAATTTAAGAAAAATCATATCAAAGGATTGTGTTTGACTCCTTCAATCTTGACCTTTCGGGGTCTTGTTTAGTACCTCCATAAGTTTGAAAACAGACTGATGACACTGTCGTGAAATATATCATTTCATAAAATAATCGCCACGGTGGGCACTATTGGTGACAAAACAGAAACAGAAAGATAAATGTAAACAGTGAAGCTAAAAGACAAGGTGGTGGAGTTTCTGCTCCAAGTTCAGCCCATTTCACAGAAAGATAAAACAGTTGAGGCTGAAAATAGGTGAAGAGGTTTTTTCATTGGATGTGTGTCGTGGCTCTGTAGTTTTGTTTGGGCTTGATTTAGTGATTTGGAAAAAATGCTTGATGTATCTTTGACCAATTAAAAGATTCTCTCATTCTACTCGGAGCTAAATGTAGAGCAAACATCATGACTTGACTGTCTTAGCAGATTCCCCAGAAGGTTTAATTATTTAATTTGGCCCAAATCAGGGGTGGGATTCTTCCAGTTCGGGTGTACCAGTAGTTCCGATGATCAGCTGAGAGCGAACCAGTTCGCTCTTACGATTAGCTGGGCCTGCCCGCCCCTGCGTTATACCTACCTTTATTTCCTTTGTATGAAGCCCAGCTGATTGGCGCGGCAGTGCAGATTGCCGCCACTCAGCTGTTTTATTCACCGGAGCTGCAGTAGAAGGTGCTGTTTTCAAATGTACTGTGTGCGTGGAGATTGCCCATTTGGCACGCACAAAGCAAACGGGTTGTTACACCGGTTGAATCCCACCACTGGCCCAAACTGTATGAAAAGCCTAGTGGTGGGGATAACAGAAATGGATTTACCAGGAGTTTCAGAAGGGCAGCATCTCGAGATCATACTGCTGAAATTTGGTAACAAAACTTCATCAGTGTGATTAATAATAATAGACTCACTACCACTAACATTGGTTGTTATTGTACTGATTCCTCTGTCAACAATGTTGAACAAGTCAAGCCCTGCAATCAAACATGTCTGCCAGGCTATCACACCTCCTTTACATGGACAATATAAACCTGTGTGAAAAAAACCAAACCTTATGAAATAGAATTGCTTCTCAGCATGTCGTATATTCAGCCACGATATTGCAATGGACAGATGTGTCACACCCATCCTCAACAAAGAAAAAACAGTTAAAACTGGAAGAATCCATTTTTCCTCTGGAAATATGAAGGTTCTACTTGAAGACGATCACTATAAATACCTGGGCATCCTTCAAGCTGCGAATATCAAGGACACTAATGTCAAGAAGAAAATTGGAAGTGAATAGATCAAAAGAATGAAGAAGTCCAAAGTCAGGGAAGGAAATACCATCAAGGCAATTAACACCTGGGCAAATTCAGTCATTAGATACACATCTGGATTAATGGACTGGACTCAAGCAGAACTAAAAACCCTGGATAGGAAGATCAGAAAAATAATGAGAATGAATCATGCCCTTCACCCATGCAGTAATGTTGATAGAACTACTTACCAAGGCAAATAGGTGGGTATGGAATATTGCAAGTACATCAGATACTTAAAGAAGAAAAAATGGCTTTGGAAGAATATCAGAGGGGACAGTGAAGAAGATGCACTGAAGCTAGTATACCACGAAGGTTTACTCAGTACTTCTCTAGGACTGGAAGTTTTCTGGAAGTTCTCTAACTTCTCTTCTTGGTTAAAGAGACCTTGTTCTTTGTCTTCCAGAAGTTTTTTGTTTTATAGGAAATATAATGTTCACTTCATGCTTTCTTTTAGCTGCTTGATTTTTACTCCTTTTCTTTCTTCTTCTTCCCCATATTTTACTGATTGTTGTTATTAGCTGCCCTGAGCAGTGTATTATACCAGGAGCCGGGGTGGGTTCTACCTACCTTTACTACGCAACGGGGCCTTGTGCGTGCACTCGTTTCGCTCATGCGCATGCATGCTCTTCTGCACATGCGTGCTCTTCTGATGACATCGGGGTCAGTGGGTGGAGCCTCCCACCGGTTTTACTACCGGTGGGAGGCTCCACCCACTGACCCCGATGTCATCAGAAGAGCGCGCATGTGCTACCGGTTTTACTACTGGTTCTATAGAACCAGTCCAAACCAGGGGCAACCCACCACTGACCAGGAGAGAATATAAACGTAAGCATTCCTATAAATACACTTATTAATAAAATTGTGTAGACTATACAGGCATCATAAATCTTTCTGAGGGGACAAAATCTGAATGGATGAAATTTGAAAGAATCAGGTGACTGTTGATGACATCATCTTGAAAGGCTTTTTAAAACATAGAAAGTCCTTTAACTGTTTTGACATATTAAATAGAATTAAATTGCATTTGAAGCTGAAGTTGCCACTTGTGTAAAATACAGCTTGCACGTTTCTGATTGGTGGGTGCCAGGAGTTTTGTACAACATTTTTCACAGTTTTAGAGTAGTGTGTGGATGTTTTGTTTTTCAGCCCTGTTCTTTGATGGACAGTGTAATGATGACTTTTGAGAAGAAACTTGCCAAATTACACAAAGATTTTACGCTTTAAAATTTAGATTATGGGAAGGAAATAGCCCCTACATTGTTTCAATCTCTATGTGGCATTATTCAAAGATTAGCCTATAAAATGTCATAATATTTTTTGTCATCCTACCAGTATTCTAAAGCATCAAAAATAACAGTAGAGTTTAATATGATCTCAATGCCCTTTTCTAGGCTCCACTGGTTAGGATCAAAATAATACTTGCTTGTATTTTGAAATGTACCAATTCAGTCTCGGAAATTGGTTTTGCCTGAGATATTATAGCAAGCTGTAAACATACCCAGCTTGAGATAAAAATTAGTTTGGGTTACCGCAATGCACAATGCTTCCACTTAAAAAACAATTACCCCCCTCCTCCCTACTCCCAATAAAACCAATTGTATGGGTTCCACAATGATTTCCAAGGAAACTTCATAATGTGTCAAGAAATCTACATTTCCCAGTAGCCTTGTATAGCCATGTAGCACACGAGGCAAAGCATATTGGGAAAATTCCTCCTTGCTTCAGTGAGGTGGCCATTTAACTTGAAATGCTCAAACTAAATGAGCATTTTCTAGTCCAAATAGCTATTAAAAAAAACCCCTTACCTCTGTGGGACAGGTAATGTTCTTGCATTTCTCTCTGGTGGAACTAATCAAAACATAATCTTAATAAGCGAGCTATCTGTGCATCTGCATGACAGACTGGAAGGCTCATGAAAGAACAAAAGGTTATTCCTGGGTCCAAACGTGAGGCAAAGAATGATTCTGTACTTTCAATATTCATTGGAGCAAGAGGAAGAATGAACAAGGCTTATGGGACAAGTTAGAATGAAGCAGCCTATGGGATGGGATGGGATGGGATGGGATGGGATGGGATGGGATGGAGTAGAATAGAGTAGAATAGAACACAACACAACACAACACAACACAACACAACATAACATAACATAACATAACATAACACAACACAACTCTTTATTGGCCAAGTGTGAATAGTTAATCTTGATGTTAATAGAGGAATTTTAGCAAAAAGAAAGAGAGAAACTGGTTCCTTTCCTCTGCAGATAGAAGATGCACCTTCATTTTTATTGTTTTATGTAAGCCATTTTATTTGTTTTTCAGATCAATTCCAAGGCAATGGAAATAGTCACAATGTCTCTGGTCTTGATACAGATCTTTGTATCTCTTGGCTCTGCAACTTATTCCAATACGTCCCCTTTTGGGTTAGGCCTCCCTCTCGCTTCCATCCATTCCGTCCCTTTCAGCAGAATGAGGAAGAGGCAATTAAGAATCTTGATTTTACATTGTAGTACGTGTAACAATTCTATTTTTAAAAAAATCAGGACAAAGACTAGATAATGACCTCTGCAGGCTCCATACTAAAATTACTGATGGCACCTAAGCAAAAAGAGGCAGTTCATGAGAGAATGGTAAATTTGGAAAGAAGCTGAAGGTCAAGGACAAAGAAAGTGCTACTGTTTCAGCCGACTACTTCAGTTTTTTTTCCAAAAAGTTTTTTTTTTATTTTTATAAACAAACAAACAATACATAATCAATCCATCAGTGTATCATCTGAGTACATCTTTTGTGTCTTCTCCCTATTCCTAAATCATTTCTCATAACTTGATATTTGTCATTTCCTTTGTTATAACATTTCTCCCACCTTTCTTTACACTATTACTCTATGTATATCTCTTCTCCAGTCAATAATAAAATTGCCCCCAAATCTGATAATATTCCGATTCTTCTCTTTCTTTAAGTATCAAAGTCAGTCTATTCATTTCTGCACAATCCAATATTTTCTTAATTATTTTTTCCTCCATAGGAATTTTCTCTGCTTTCCATCTATGCACAAATACTATCCTCGCTGCAGTTAACATATGTACGATCAAGTATATATTTTCCTTACTAAATTTCTCTGGTAAGATACCCAATAGGAACAGTTCAGGTTTTAAATCTATATGTTGTTGTATCATTTCTTCTAACCATGCTTTAATTTTCATCCAATAATTCCTTGCTTCTGGACATGTCCACCACATATGTTAATACGATCCTGGTAACTGATGAAACTGAAAAAAACAGGTTTTTTTTTAATGTTATCTTATTAGTACTCCAAAACAAGGACATGCTTTTGTTTTCCTGTGTTAATGAATCCTTTAATGGTAGGTTTGGGCTATGGGATATCTCCAACATAACCCAGGAAGTAAATTTCTTCTCATTTTTCAGAATTAAATATCACAGAAGTTAATAGATGAGCTAATGAAGAAAACTCCATTTTATTTATTCATGCATTCAATTGATATAGCTACCCATCTCAAACAAATGACTCTGGATGACTAACAATAATTAAATAAAACAGCAAAAAGCCAACAGAAATAGATTATTGGCAGACCAGATTTTTTTAAAAACCCATATACTACAGATATTTCAGCAAAATTAATTCATTTTGCCACCACCACCACCCTCTGGCCCAGGAACAGAGCTGTGTCTTCAGGGCCTTGCAAAAGCCAACAGGATCAGGACTAATCTGATCTCCAGAGATTGTCCCAAATGCTATTTTATTTCCTCTAATTAACAGTATATGTGTTTGTTTAGTAAAAAATAGTTTTAACCATTGCTTAATGCTGAGATATCAAGGTGATGCAAAAGAGGTATGAATACCAAGATATATTAGAATATAATGCAACAAAATCATGGCTATTATTATCAAAATTAACATTTCATGTTTTATTAGTCTTTTTTAAAAAAACAATGGAGTTCAACTAATTCCTAACAAATCATTAAGAAAGCAGCAGGATAAAAGTGTAGAAAAATGACAGGTCAGGGAACACTAATGCTGGAGGGATAACCAGGGCAGGAATTAATACTGTCTTTTTCCAGATGCTATCGCAAATTCAGAATTGCCCTTTCTTCTGGGAACTACTGCATAACAATGAAGTCCATTTTGTTTAAATTGCTGTTACAATCTTGTACAAAAAAATCCATGTGGAAACATTATTGGATGTTAATTAGCATGATTTGGTGCCTATGAATCAAGAACTAATTCCATTTATCTCTCTTTTTCTTTCTGGCTTGTTTGTCGCTGCCTTCCTGTTGCCGGGGGCCTTACGCAGTGGCAGACCATTTCTCTGACCGTCATCGAAAAAGTTCAGATAGCAGCAGCCATCTTGGGTTCCCTTTTCCTTATCGCCAGTATCTCGTGGCTTATCTGGTCAACTTTCAGTCCGTCTGCTAAGTGGCAGCGCCAAGACCTGCTCTTCCAGATCTGTTATGGGATGTATGGCTTCATGGATATTGTCTGTATAGGTGGGTGAATGAATCTTTCAAAGTATGGGAAGTGGCCAATGGAATATTTGACTCTAAAAGGACCTTGGGGAGAGCAATTGCTACTTATCCTCTTGACAAGGTGTAAAAGAGAAAGTAGAAACTAAGGTGGTTTTCTTAGAGCGAACTAAAACATGTGGATTAAAGTAGACTAACCAACCCCTCTGCTACATGGTGTCCCTTCTTGTCAATCATTGTAAGCCATCTAAAACTCTTCCCCAGTATGAGATTAAACCTAAATGTATTAATTCAGAATCAAATTGGATAGTTCCTAGTGGTTGGAATAGCCTATGGCAGTGAAGGCTAACCTTTTTGCCGTAGCGTGCCAAAAGCAGGGGGAACACGGGGGGGGGGCGTCATGCACATGCGTGCCCACATCCATAATTCAATGTACCCCCCCACTCCCCCCGCTTTTGGCCCGGTGGGCCCGGTAGGCCTGTTTTTTTGCCTCCCCAGGCTCCAGAGGCTTTCTAGGAGCCTGGGGAGGGCAAAAACAGCCTTCTCCACCCACCAGAGGCCCTCCCGAGGCAAGAAACAGCCCGTTTTCCAACTTCTGGTGGGCCCAGAAGGCCCAAAAATCAGCTGGCCAGCATGTGCATGCGCGCTGAAGCTGAGCTAGGACAATGCTCGTGTGCCCACAGATATGACTACGCATGCCACCTGTGGCACACGTGCCATAGATTCGCCATCACAGGCCTATGGTTTCTCTCTTAAATTCCATAAAATAAGGTATGAAATAGTTAAGATTCAAAGCTGTGGTTATTCTTATTTATGCTCCTATCTTTATATACAGATAAGCTTAAATAGGTTTGCTTCATTTGGGGAGAATGCACTTTTTAATTTCTGATGTTTTAGATATCAGAATGGATCCAAAAATATTTGATGCTGGAAATCAAAATTCTGTTCTATTCAGCAGTGCTGGTTAAGGAGAGCTTTAATTTTATTCCTTCAGCATCTTAGAAGTGGAAATTCTGATATTGTCCTGGATGGCATAACTGAAATGCAGTCTATTCTGATTCTTAAGATTATTGTATCGCCTCTGTGCAGGACTCTCTCTGCTGAGGACATGGTTTACTGCAAAAGAGAAGTTTAATTCTATGGCTGGGTTCACTAGGTTTGCTAACCTTCCTTTTTATATATATAATGGTTAATATCATTTGAATTGAATGACTAGGGTTCACACGTTACAGGTAGTTCTTGAACCCAGAATTATGGTCATAAATTGTGGTGGTCATTAAGCAGATCATCATATTGACCGCTCTTGATTTTATGACCTTTATGGCGACAGTCATGAAGACAATGCCATGGTCGTTAAATGAGTTTGTTTTCCTCAGTGTGTGTTTTTTGCTGGAAACCAGAAGTAAACTAGCGAAAAATGCCAAAAATTATGTGATGTTGTAATCGGCCAAACTGGTTGCCAAGTGCCCAAAATGCAATCCTGTAATTACTGGGGGAGGTGTGGCCCTCAAAACTTTGGAAAAGTGTCTTAAGTAACTCTGGAGAGGTCCATTGTAACTTTGAATGGTTGCTAAGCAACCGGTCATTAAGTGAGGACGACTGTATACCATGGTGAATTGAAACAAAGCACATTTAAGCTGGTATAATTGCATGTATCTAATCATTTTGTTACAAACTAGTATCTAACAAACATCTTTCTTTTTGGGAGCCTAGATGCCATGGAATTACATGGTACTAGCAGTAGCAATAGGAATAGCACTTAAACTTACATAATAGTGCTCCAGAATGCTTTACAGTACTCTCTGGGCAGTTTACAATGCCATCTTATTGCCCCCAACAAGGCCACATCTAGAATACTGTATCCAGTTTTGGTCACCACATTACAAAAAAGATGATGAGACTCTAGAAAAAGTGCGAAGAAGAGCAACTAAGACAATTAAAGGCCTAGAGATTAAAATATATGAAGAACGGTTGTAGAATTTGGGTTTGGTTGGTCTAGAGAAAAGAAGGACTAGGGGTGATATGATAGCAGTATTCCAATATTTGAGAGGTTACCACAAAGAGGAGGGCGTCAACTTATTTACCAAAGCACCTGTAGGCAGGACAAGAAACAATGGATGGAAACTAATCAAGGAGAGAAGCAACCTGGAACTAAGGAGAAACTTCCTAACAATGAGAACAATTAACCAGTGGAACAGCTTGCTGTCAGAAGTTGTAGGTGCTTCAACACTGGAGGTTTTTATGAAGAGACTGGGCAGTCACTTATCTGAAATTTTATTGGATCTCCTGCTTGAGCACAGGGTTGGGCTAGAAGACCTCCAAGATCCCTTCCAACTCTATTCTGATTGATTGAATTCTCATTTTATTGACCTGGGAAGGATGGCAGGCTGAGTCAACTTTGAACCCTGTCAGGATCGAACTCCAGGCTGTGGACAGAATCAGCCTACAATATTGCATTCTAACCACTGTGCCATAGTGGCTGTCCATTAAGAAAGGCAGGGCCAACTAACACTTTGGGCAAACACAGAATCCCAAGAGACAACACATAAGATGGTATTACCTCCTATTAACATGTATAAAAGCTGATTTAGCAAACAGTTGAGTCTCCTTGCAACGTTGGCAAATGTTGTTCATGGAGGTGAGATTAATTTTGAAGGGTATCAGGCAGGCTGCACAGCCTGCACTTTTCTCCTCCATCTGCTGCCCACCACAGACTGTTTGAGGTGATGTGCCCATTAGGCAGCATGGCAGCCTCATGGAGGAGGAATGTGGGGAGGAGTTCTTTCCAATAGTTCTTCTCAGGGAATGGAAAGAGGCAAAGCTGTAGTGCCTATGTGTTTGATTGCTGATAGGAACACAGAGGAAGTAAGTGGGTAGCTAATGGCTGTCAGGAAGTTACATGATTAACATAACTTTGATAAAGAAGGAAAGGCTGGAAGCAGCTGGTTAGCTCATCTGTCAGCAGGAAGTAAACATTCCCCTTTCATCCATGAGTTGGATGCCATAGGAGCAAACTAAGCCAGCACTTAATTGGAGGGGGACAGAAAATAGGTATGTTTTGATTGCATTTAAGAACTGGGTGTGATTTCTTAATTTCCGCTTCATTTGATTGCAACCTTTATGTGTTTTCCGAAGAGCATTAAAAATTGGATCATGCACTAAAGTTTTATCTGGCACAGAGATGCAGCGTATAGTTGTTTACTGATTTTTTTAAAAAAAAAATATCTCAAACTGCTGATAGATAAGACAGTATTTTAAGAGGAAAAAAAATTGCATCCTGAGATTCTGTTCCATTTACAGTTAGTTGCCAGAAAAGGAATCCTCCTAGCAAGGCATTTTAATTCGAAGTTATAGTTCATTGCTTCTGCTTTTAATTCCAGGAAGTATAAAATATGTGTGGCTTTTCCCAAAGGCCAAACAATTTTGGAAATGTGAGGAATCAAGGCTAAGTGCTTTGAAGGCTAGCATGCAAAATAATTAATAGCAGTGTTAGAAAACTGGGAAAGTGTGCTACTGTCATATTGCCAAGATCTGGGACATGCATTTCTGAATTATTATTTTTTTAATCTGAATGGTTTATATACAAAAAAGAGAAGAATTGGGGGGTTTAGAAAGTCTCATATGGTCAGCAGGACTGTTGCTTCATGGCAGCATTAGGAAGACCTAGGAAATGATTATGATGCTACCTGGGCATATAACTTACCTTCTTAGAGTAGTCTCAAGACATCCAAGAGGTGAGATGCAGGAGCTAGAAGGCTCAGCAGTGACCTCAGGGTGAAGATGGGGGTCAAACTGTCTGACGAAAGCAGCATTGCACTACTGCAGCCCAAGACCCAAGTCCAAGGGTTGGCTACCTTAAACACTCAGAGAGCCACAAAGGTCCTAACCGGAAGCCCCCCATTCAATTCTGGAGCCAGCCGGTTCCCCCACCATAGAGTCTCCTCCTAGTGTGGCGTCTTTTTTCCTCTACCTATTCTAACTGAAAGCCCCATCAATTGTAGAGCTGACTGGCGACAGGGAGCCACAGCAGAGGGATGAAAGAGTCACATGCGGCTCCAGACCCGCAGATTGCCGACCTCTGACCTAGTCTTTTGTATAGTGATCTTGCACACATGTGAAAAAAATGGCAAGCATGAATCACAACACTTCTTCCATGATATCGACAAAAACAGGCAGAACTGCAGACTCCCATGTACAGTCTGTTACAACTAGAAAACTCTTAGCTGCTCACATGCCTGCATTATGTACCTGGGGTTATCCTGAGAACCCTGGTTCCTATATGACAAGCTAACCTTTCTGTGCAACAAGAGGCACATCCAATTGGGTCCTGTCGCTCAAAGTAGAAAATTATGGAAGTGAGTGATTGCCTTGTTGCCTTAGTAATGGAAATAAATGTCTATTCTCTCCATCCACAAGCAGTAACAGATTGGGAAGGAAATGCCTGTAAATACATTTGGAGCAAATAGTGCATGAAATAGAAAGGTGGTTTTTTTTCCCCCTCTAAAATGCATCATCTTAAATAACAAAATGTACAGTGAAAAATTGTGGCGCATCATGGAACCACCTCAGGTGAGGACCTATTGTGAAAGAACATTGCTGGATGAGAGTTTCCACGCTGGTTCACTCAATTTGTGACACGCTTAAGAGGAGATTGTATGGCAAGAAAGTTAAGCACGGGCATCTTTTGGGAGGAAGAACATATATAGGAATGCAGTTGGTGAAGTTGTCACAAGGTCCTGCCCTAGAGTGCTTGTCACAGGCATGAACTGTAGAGAGCAAAGATCCTTCTCAGTGTAGCCAATTTGTCCCTAATGAGCAAAGTCGGGAAATAAATCTTCCTCTCTACAAATCATGCCCGTCACAGATATCCTCAGGCAAGTGCTTCTGACAATTGTACCACTATATTCCATTTTTAGAGGATATCCATATTTACCATTTAAGTTGCTGTTCTCTAGGCTCTTACTGGCTTCAGAAATAACAAAATAACGGAGTTGGAAAGGACCTTGGAGGTCTTCTAGTCCAAC